CTGGCCAGGACCTCGTGGTGGGACCGACCAGGACCTCATGGTGGGACCAACCAGAGATCTCTGTGGTGGGATTGACCAGGACCTCATGGTAGGACCAACCAGGGGCTCCATGGTGGGACCAGCCAGGGGCTCTGTGATGGACCGACCACAGACTCATGGCACCTGCTTGGAAGGGGACCAGCACCCTCACTCCAGCCCCTCCTTGTCCAAACCTCCCCCCCAACACCCACCGTTCCTTCTCAGCACCCCGGCCGCTCGCAGAAGCGGGGTGTTGACCGTCCCCTTGGTTGCCATCTCCTCGAAAGCTCGGGCGACAGAGAAGGCGGGCGGCAGGGCGATGCCTGAGGCAGAGGCGTGTTGCCTGCAGCTCTCGTCCATCTCCGAAAAGAGCTGGAAAACACCCACAGAGTCAAAAAAAAACAGAATAAAAATTAAGTCCCCATCTCAGAGCCTCCTCGAGGTCCCGGTGATGCTCCACGGGTGGTAGCCAAGGGCTCACCTGGGACAGGGTGATCTGGCCCCTCATGGCTTTGGAGTAAGGGCTGTCAGAGCCACCAGCAAACAGGTTTTTCCGCAAGAAATCCCTGCCAGGGAACAGAAGGAGAGGTCAGCCGGGGGGTCTCCAATATCAGGGAGGGATTTTGGGGATGCTTTGTGCCACGGAGGTGGAACAGCGTCGTCCATCATCCCTTCCCCCCCGGGAGAGGAGCATCACTTCATTACGATCAGGAGATCGCTGCCCATTTATTTCCCGCTGGCAGCTCAATTACTTCGTCCAGTGCAGAGAGAGATGAGCCAAGAACAAAAAAAAAAAAAAATTAAAAAAAAAATGCAAAAAGCGAGGTATTTCATAAGCTGCAGCTCAGGGAAAATAATTTGCCCGTCTCGCAAGATCACGGAAGGCCTTCTCGGGCGGCAATAAAACAAGATTACAGGCACTGGCTTTAGGACAAAGCTCTCTTTCGAGTCGATAAAAACACAGCTCAGTTAAAAATAAAGCGGCTTTACCTGTTCCAGCAGGATTGCTGCCGTTTTTTTTCTTTTTTAAAGCGGAGCAAAAATATGGTTGATGGCCTGATAATCTGGGAATTTATTGCTCCATCTGCTCCACGTCCTCTAGCATTTAGCTACTTAATATTTTATTCTTTTTTCAACTCCCTGCTTGCCTTG